TAAACTCTTCCAGATGAGCTAAAGATAAACTCTGAGGTGGGTGGACTTCAGCTTGCTGGGCTGTCGCTCTGAAGTGTTTGATTACATTAACACAAAACCCCTGGGTAGAGCCTGTTTCTGTCAACAGATTGCTTAGACTGGGACACTTACTACATGAAACCATTTCCTGTGCTTTCATGGGTTGGTGGCAGAAACTTGCTTTGCTTTGTTTCACAGACTAATAACGATAATGTATTTCTCCTAGCTCAGCAAGTCCTCAAACCATGTGTACAATTTCAAGATCTACCTAAAATGCCAAAATATACATTGGTCTGCACAGATAAAAATCTTGGAATCTGTTTATAACTTCAAATTTGACTTATTCATCTTGCCACTCTCATGGCAGCAAATGTGGAAAGCTACTAGAGGGGCTTAGAATCAAATGTATTCTGCCAATAGCTGCATAATTACCTAGATCTGTGAATCCGTGAGATACATTAAGGTGGGGGCAGGTACAAGTGCTTTTTTAAAGCCTGAATTTATAAAGGAAGGTAGGGACATCTTTTTTTGTGCGGTTGTTTCTTACTAGACTTAAATACCCAGAACTTTGGACTGACTGGGCTGTAATACATCATTTCCAACATGCAACTCCTCACCACAAAATGACACAGTGAAAAATAGCTCTTAAAATATTCAGGAACTTACCTATTTAACATAATTAGTGAGGCTTTGAAATGAGAGAGAGAGAAGCAAAGCTGATAATGAAATTAAATCTTAAGGACCAGCTGCAAAAACACTTCAGGAGCACATATATCAAACAATCAACTCAGCACACTGGTACATTTAAAAAAATTTGCCAAATTTAGATGAGAGGTCTTTGGGAAAATATGATTAACTACATAGAAAACATTTATTGCCAATTCCTCCAAACTGAAACTCTCTGACATGTGTTAGCGCTATTTTAAATACATGCTCTCTTATTTGAAATTGGCTGGTTACATGAAAAAGTGAATTAAAAAGGGAACTTATACGGATGAATCCTATGTACCACAGTTATTAGATTTTAAAACATGGCATGTTCATTAATTTGCCTTTTTTTGATCTATGGCTAAGGGTTTAATTGCCATCTTTGTTGATTTTTTGAGCATAGATACTCTTGGAATTCCACCTTATACTCACTTAAATAGTGTATGACTCCTACCTTTTGTCTTTAAAATGGTCCAAGTTTAAAGTTACTTACAAAGTACCAAATACAAACATCTTTTATTTTTTACAATGTTTGTTTTTACTATACGGCATTTTGAAGCTTTATTCAACAGTAAATTTCCAGTGATTTGCCTTTAATTGTTGCAAAGCACTCAGCTTCTGTAGACATTTTCTGTTTCCATATTTTATTAGTTTGGATCCTAACTACTGGCTTGTACTACACTTAATAACAACTGTAGCTAACGTGTGTACAGAGTTTGGGGGAGTTTCTCCACTGGCTGCATCTTAGACACAAGGACAATGCTTTGACATATAAATATTTGCACTCAGCTGATATTTGTCAAATGAATGGTATACAACTCACTCTTCCTAAGTATACAGTAGAGCAGAAGGGGGCCAAGGCTGGAGAGTATGCTGGAGAGGAGCTATCAGCCTAAGTCCCGATGATGGCAAACCTTTCAGAGATTTCAGTAACAAACAGCCCACTGCAGCACGTGTGCCATAGGTTTGCCACCACTGGTAGACTATTCACTGGTTATGGGGATCAATTTGTTTGTTTGTTTATAGAGAGAATGGAGAATCAGTTATCACAGCAAGTCCATTAGATGGTAGTTACTTACAAGCAATTCTACTGTACTTTGATTAAACATCTGGCTTACCAAAACTTCTCTCTGCATAAAGTAGCTTGGCTTTTCACTTTCCTTTAGGAATTAAATACCTTCCTCCGTGTTAACCTGTAACTAATTTAACTCCCTACTATCCACAGAAGGGTTTTGAAACTTCTGAAGCTGTCTGTGAGGGCCAAGCTCCTGAAGGGTGATTAGTAACATGTTCCCTCTTCAGTGTTCCTTAGGACATTTGGAATTAATTATATATTCAAATATAGATGCTCTCAGATCTCTGGCCAGGCCCAGCAGGTTTGTCAGGGTACAGAGTAAGAGGCAGATAACTGCTGTTTCTCACATCAGAACCTAGAGCTGAAGATAGATTAAAAAGTACACTCTCTAATCTCATGGGTCTACAAAGTCATAGACAATTAGAAACAATACAGAAAAACAGCAGCAACCTTACAGAAGAGTTTCTATGCACATGATAATAAGACTATGTAACGTACTGTATCTGGCTCACAAGGCGTTAAATATTTATAATCTGGCTGTTATATGTGTATGTATATATGCTAATCTGTGCTTCAGAGTCTAGTTTCCACCTAAATATTCACCTGACTCTAACACCAGTTTCTATTACTATTGGTAGTAGTGATTGGGTGCACTGGGGAAGGACACATGGGTATGTGCCAGCCACTTTGGCTAAATCCTTTCACTGTTCTGTCCCTTTCTTTTAATGAAAGATCCTTTAATGTAGGCATGTATATCTCAACCATAAAGCTAAGAAAACAATAGTTTAGAGAGGTTCAATGTCTTGTCAAGGTCACCAGGAAAATTAATTTGGGAAGCTGTTTGTTAAAATTTATGTGATGGTGTTTAAAAAGTGAAATCACTTTCCTGATCAAATGCTGTGTACAACCCACCATATAAAATATTCTGCCTGGAGTCAAGGCAAAAGCCTAGCAATCTCATCCCTTGTTGGAACAAGATGTTTGAAACTGAAGTCAGTGTATATAAAAAAAAAAAAGAATCAGCATGAAAGATGGGGTTTCAACTCACTCATTCCATTACATGGCACGATGCAGGCTTCCCTCTACCAATATCTTGCCAAGGGTAAGTGAAAGTAGCAAAGTAATAGCATTGTCTTTTCCTATATTCTTTGCCCAGCAAATGAGTGAGTCAACATAAGGAAGTGAGTCAACATAAGGAAGAAAAGAAAGAGGAAAAAGCTATAACAATCTTCAAAATCCAACAGGCAGACTGCCCTTAATGGTTCTTGATTCCATCATACACTGTAGTGGGGAGAACATCTTCCAAATGGCAGCTTATTTTATCTTTATAGTTGGTGTTTCCAGATAAACTTCTGATTTCCCATCACAATAAATTAATAACTTCTATTTTATTGTGGCGCTACAAACAAGAACTCTGAAAGGCTCAAAAGGTCCAAATTCCCTGAAAAGCATCAGATATCAAAATGCAGCCAGAAAAGATGGTATTAAATGAAAAAGGAGCTCCTTTTTAATGAAGTAAGGTGTAGGACAGATTTATTAGCTTTCATTTTTCCAAGTTGCATGCTGGTGCATTTCCTGCCCATATTTCTACGCTTGGCAGGTCTTTTTGTGGGATTACTTTGTAAAAAACAATGGTTCAAAGAACACCATGCAGCTATACCCACTACACCAGCAGACACACCTGTGATGATAGGAAGTTTCTCATATCCAAAACAGTGTGCTAACAGAAAACATACCTGTGTGACTTGCCAAAAGTTTGTCATTCTTAAAAAGAATTGATACTTGTAACCAGATATTAAAAATTGTTTTAAAAATAATAACCAATTAAGGATTAGCCTATGGCCACAATCGTCAATAAATTTAATGGACCTCTCCATAACTCCTTTTCCAACATTAAGAAATGGCACGACAAACAACTAAAATTTTTAAGTAGATACCTGTGATACTATAATATGTAGAATACTATAAATGTCTACAATATTCCTGTCTGGGGTCAACTATTTATATTCACACCATTTATTTACTATTTAATTTTTTACCCTGTTAGGGACTATACTTCGATTCTTAAGGGAGAAAAACTAATAGAAACACCTCTTTTCTTGGAGAATTATTACTCCAATTGCCTTAACTGGGTCAGTGAATGAATAGTTCCTCCACTTTAAGCAAAGTTACCAACATTATGCAAAATAGAACATAGCTGCTTTTGCTGACAGAGATTGGAGAAAGGGGCACATAAGGAACCTCTAGAGCAGGGATGGGGAACCTTTTAGACATCAAGTGCCAAATTGCAACCCCAAACCCAATTATTTACCTCATAGTTCTAACACTGCCATTAAAACCTGAATACTGAGGTTGTAGTTTAGAAAAAGCAATTCCACATTAACATCTTTTTTGCTTGTTTGAGAGAGGGTCTATTTAGTCCAGGATGGCCTCAAACTCACGGTAATCCTCCTGACTCAGCCTCCTAAGTGCTAAGATTATAGGCATGTGCCACCATACCTAGCAACATCTTTTGTTTTAAAAGAAAACATAGTACAATGCGTGTCACAGGTTCACCACCACTGCCGTAGAGTAAGTCTATTGCCAAGGAAAAAGGTATTCCAGACTGAAATAATATGTAGCCTGGAGGCAAGAGAGCAGGTGATTCTTCTACAGAATATCTGAGGGTAGGACTAGAGATGCACTATCCAAGTTCCGAGTCACTAGACATGTCTACTTAAATTTAAACAAATGTTAAAAGAAATTGAGTTCTCAAATACATTTCAAGTATTCACTGTCCACGTGTCCAGTCTACCATCCTGGATTGTGCAGATATAATTTTTCCATTACTTCAAAAAGGGCCTGCTGCCAGTTCAGAAGCTTTAAATAGTAGTTTATAAACTACTATATTCTACAAAGACTTCTGAAATAGCCCTTTCAGACTACAGTCCTACAGCCTTGCTAAAACCTGTTTCACATTTGAGTAAAAGATTCACTTTAAAGAAAGAATTCTACAGCCCAAAGGGGGAAGGGGCTAAAAAAACCCACCATTATGGACAACTGAAAACCATTAAGGTTTCGAAGCAAGAGTGTGACACAGATTGGGGTTTTAGATGTTGTATCGCAGAGCAGTGTAGGATGTGGCAAGAAGAGCACGGAGAAGTTCATGACATGATCAAAGAGGGCATTCAGTGACACTTCTAAAGAAATACACAATGCGGAATGTGCATCAGTAAATTTATTCCAAGTTAAGAGTTGGGTGCACAAACCAGGCAGGTTTCCTCCCCAATCGCACAAAAAAATCAGCATTGTAGTAGAAATACTTAACACTTTAGCCATGAAACTCAAAGATACTTGATAACCTTCTCAGGATACTTTGTTATGAAATTTGTAATCTATACTTGCCCAATTACTACTTAAAATGTGCTTGTATTGCTCATTAAACTTATGTATTTCAAACATATTTGCAGAAATTATCCAAAAATAACTTTATAATAACTTCAACATATCCACAGGTAGCTCTTAGCAGTGCTATTACAGAACCAAAATTTTTCAAGTTGCTTCAATTCACACCATTCCTGACCATAGATATGTTTTTATAAGCAGCTCTTACTACTTGGCTATTTTAATATGCCAACCATCACTTCACTAATATCCCAGAGTTTTCTCGCTACCGACTCATCCATAGCTTTGGGTAATAATTCTTCCTCCTTGCAATCTCCGAAGTACTTTCCTGACACACCTTCTACCTCAGGTGAAGAGGCTAAATAGATGGAAGTCTGGGCACCTTCTAGTGGAGTTTTGAAGAAAGCCCATGACACCAAATTGAAAAGTGGTTTAGCCAGTAGTGGAATGTGTATGTGCCTGCCAAGATTAGTCCGTACAATACCAGGATGTAACACATTGACAGTAACATTGGTGCCTTCTAGGCGGCGGGCTAGCTCTCTAGTAAAAAGAATGTTTGCCAATTTGCTCCGACTATAACAGAAACTTTTATTATAGCTTGCTTCACTGTTTAAGTCTTCAAAGTTGATGTCTCCATACTTATAGAGCTTGGAAGAAACAACCACAATCCTGCTGGGAGCTGAACTTTTAAGAAGTCCAAGCAGAAGATTGGTGAGAAGGAAATGTCCCAGATGGTTCACTCCGAACTGCATCTCAAACCCATCTTCGGTCTTCATATACGGACACTGGAAGACCCCTGCATTATTGATCAAGACATCCAGCCTTGGCTCCTCCTTTAAATATCAAAGAGAATGGCAGCATTATGAACACATGCCTTCAAATGCTCTCTGTTCACGGTAAATACATTTCAATAAAAAGGGAACTTGAAACTAAAAGTATTTCAGTTCTTAGCCTATGGATTTAAGATCTACTTGAAACACTGCCAATTTTGTTTTTAAGTAGTAGGGCAGGGACTCCTTTATAGGATATTCCTCAAACTAGTATTCATAATCTCACTCAATGTTCCTTTTTCTCACGTATTAAAATAATATGAAAATACTTATCTGAAGAAATCTGTCAGTGAGAGATGCAGAAACTGCATCTAAGATTCCAATTTTGGTCTTATGCTTTTGTACCTTCATGATTACAAATATGTGTATCCAGGTGTTTCTTGAAGAAGCTGGTTATCTGATCAGTTCAAAGATCTTTCTTAAAAAAGAAAAACAATAAACAGGGGGATGAGGCATTCAAGTGATTCCAGATTTCTCCCTTTGACTTCGGCTGAACTTGGAAAATAGCAATTTGGAAGTTATAATGTTAATCCTGAGATCATATCAAAATCACAATAAATGCACTAATAATTTTAGAAATTATTGCAAAATACTAAAGTTCCACAAAATGGCTTTTACAAACTTTAAACAACTGAGAGGAAAGTGGAAAAAGATTTCATGTTTAACAAGGGTATGGCCTTTTGCTTTGCACTTAATCCTATGTACTTTCAATAACTCCACAAGCAAGCTAAAGCACAGAAGCTAGGTGTCCTGCGCAGTGTACAGAGCTCTTAAGTGACACAAGAAAAAAATCACACACTAAGGCATAATCTTCTCTTAATTACAAAACTACTTTGTCTTTCAAATTGGGGTTTTTAAAACATAGCTGAAGTCCAGGTGAGCCAGAGACCATACACAGCAAAAGAAAGGTCAGCATGCTTATTCCTAGACATACTAGTATCAACTCCACAGGCAAGGTTAAGACTGCTTTCTACTGTGCTTCTTTAAGTGTAAAGGCACTATGGGAACAAAAGAATAACTTAAAAGGTATTTCCTTGAATGAACAGAGTAAAGAAAAACTTAAGGGAAGAAAAAATTAAGAAAAAATTAAGGGAATATAAAAATATTAGAAACATAGGGACTCATAAATACGAGGCTCACAATGGTAGGACTGGGGAATGGGTATATGATCAACAAAACCTTTAACATCCATCATTTATTCCTCTGTGGAAACTATCTTTCAAACTTCAATGGGCCCTCATTTCGGAGATCCGCATAGCCAGAACTTTGTACTTTGTCATATACTTCTACTTGTTCCCAAACTAAAATCCTAAGATTGAAACAGTTCTCATAGGGATGTCTTCTCATCTCTTAAATTATGTAAATTGGTCTTCTCTAGCCTTTTTCTGGCTTCTGGATGGACAGAGAAAAAGAAAGGCACATGTTGCAGGTGTAAAGATACAGCGATGACTCATGACTCAATTAATTCTAGGTCAAATTTCAAGCTTCATTGGCCCTTTTGCCAAGTACAAGTGAAAAGAAAAATGTGTTAAATTTCACAACTTTTATCAAAGCCTACCTGTCAGAAGATTACCTATTTCTCATTCTGGCCTGTGTAAGAACTTTTAGGTTTTCCAATTGTCAACTTCAAACAGAAGGCAAGAGTTCACCCACGGGGGGAAAGAAAGGAGTGTTCTTTTCCACTAATCCTTTGGAAAGGTTTCTTGAATTAATCATTTCTGAGCTATCATTCTTTGCTGGGCTTGTGTTATTTTAAGACTTTATCATTTACTATTTTTTTAAATTCTAGGAGATAAAGGACATAAATACCAAGAATGCCAACCTGTGGGAAGCCTACACTTCCATTTTTTCCTTCTAATTATAGTCACTGAACAGAGCCAGGCAGGAAGGTAAATTAGAAGCAAGGAAAACATTTGTGTCCCTACTTTTTAATTGATTCCGCGTCAAGTTCTCAAATTAGCAAAGGTGTCAGGTATAACAAGCATACCCAGCCCCATCTATATTTTAATGAAAAACAGGAAGATCCACTTCTAATGCTTCCAAATTTTCTCACAGATTACTACTACATGATAATGAAATACAGGCAATAATAACAAAAACCCCAACTCCCTCAAACTGAAACAAGATGTCTGAGACACAGCAACATAAACACCCTCCTAAAGTAGTGTGGAATATTTTAAAATTTTAAGGGAAGCGATGATATTTTGCTTAATACCTCAGAAATTACTAGCTCCAGATGGTTCACATTCTGCACTCCTTTAGTGAAGTCATTTTTTTGTGGAATTGACTTCCGAGAAGTTATTAAACAAGGGTGGTCATACCTAATTTCATTCAAGGTTGGATGAACTGGTGCAGCGATTAGCAGGCACACATAAACACTGGTAGTTATGATTAAGATTGGAATTATGAGTATTAGTTTTCAAGCAGCTACTGAGCTGTTAAGACATACTTAACTGGTTATTTGGAACTAATTGTTTAATAAGTGAGCTTGTAGATATTCCTTCCGGTCTAAGGACATCATGAAAAACAAAATATGGGAATCTCTACTCCAAGAGATGAAGGTGCTCGGAACTGAGGAGGGTGGCATTTGTGATCATGACACTCAAGAGATTCAAACTCATGAGACTCAAGAGATCCCACTTCATACTGGTACTTTTCCTTTTTCCTGTTCAACTAGCGTCAAATGCCCCAAGTCATCTCCGCAAGAAGTCCTTTGACCTCAGTCTCCACGCAGTTTCCATGCGTGGAATACTGTTCACTATCTGCCCAAAGAAATATTCACCTGTCAGCAGGGGTGTGGAGCAGAGGTAAAGGAACAAAGGCTCCAAAGATAAAACCACAGATAAGTTACTTAGCCTTCTTACGCTTGTTTCTTCAGTTACAAAATGGAAATAATAATGTCTGCCTCACAGCATTACTGTGAAGACCTGATGACAACCACCACTGGCATTTAATTTCATTTAAAACTCAAAAAATACCTGAAATGCTTGGCACACAGAAAACGTTCAGTAATGCTAAGCATTATATGAGCCTTACTCTCCTCTCTGGAGCATGATCCCTAAGATTCCAAACTCCACCCTTTTGGAAATCAGGCCAAAGTCTGGTTAGGGGTGGTGTTAAACTCGTCGGAGGCAGCAAGTGACACTCCCTACCCCTGCGGGAGACCAAGGGACAGGCTGAGGGTAACAGGCAGAGACGCGGAAGGGAGAACAGGCCGCAGAGAGGCCGGCCGAGGTCCCCGCCGCCCGCGGGGAGGGGCGTGGTTTGCACGCGGTCACTTCCGAAAGGAGCGGGCGGAGGAGCAGGCGCGCGACTCTCCCCGCACCCCGTCCCTCCCGGGCACCCGGCCTCGGCGGCCCACCTGCAGCAGCTCACGGCAGAAGGCGCGCACCGAGCGCAGCGAGGCGAGGTCCAGTTCCTTGACGACCAGCTGGCCCGCCCCGGCCGCGTCCTCCTCCTCCGGACCGCCGAGCTCGCGGCGCAGCTGGCCGGCCGCCTCCTCGGCGCGTGCGCGGTCGCGGCAGCCCATGATCACCCGCGCGCCCAGGCGCAGCAGCTCGGCGGCCGTGGCGCGGCCCAGACCGCTGTTCGCGCCGGTGATCAGCACCGTCTTCCCGCGCATGAGACCGGGTTCCGCGCCTCCGTGTAATCGCGGTACCCCGCGCCCCACGAGCCGCCGGACGGCCAGCCAGAGCACCCCGCCCAGGGCGGCCAGAAACGCCGTCGTGGTGGCCACTGCCATTGCCTTCCGGGCCGCCAGCCCACAAACCTCGTGCGGTTCCGGAGCCCTGCGGCAGCGCGGGGAGCTCTGGGGCAGCCGTCTGTGCGCGCGCGGCATGCTGGAACCTGTAGTCTCTTAGTGTCCGGAATGGGTTGGATGGGTCCGGGGCTCCACGGAGACCTGCTCTGCGGCTGGGTAAGTGGGCGGAGCCCGCTGCCCCCCTCGTGGAGGAGACCTTATGAGAATGCCTCGTGAAGCCTTAAGTTTACACATCTCTTCATGGGCTGAATTACAAATGCCACCCTCCTCAGTTCAGAGCACCTTCATCTGGAGAAAGGTCCCTGCTCAACTGGATCCTGAGGAAGAATCTCCTTTCACCCCACAGATGAGACTTAAGAGTTTAGCTATGAAACAGTTGGAAGTGGAATGTGCCAGTGGATCTCAAACTTTAGTTTGTATCAGAATGACCTGGAGGGCTTGAAGTACAGAAGGAGAACACATTCAGGGCCCCAGTCAGAAAGTTCCTGATTGAGTAGGTTTGGGGCAGGGTGGAGAATTTGCACTTCTGACAACTTCCCAGGTGCCGCTGCTGCTCTGAGGTCTACAATTAGGTGACCACTGAAGAAGGTATTATGGACTTGGTCCCTATAGAGAAAGCTATCCTCAAATGATCTTATTTGACACTGGAAGAATACAGTAGAAGTGTTGTGACTTAATATATTTTAGACTGGTTTACATCAAATTAGGGAACATAACAGAAGGTGTGTGTCCATTTTGGTTTTCTCTCAACTAGAGCCAGGAGTGGTTATGTGTGCAGGTTGGGTAGAAATGGAGGTAGGGGCACAGAGAACCATATAGTGTATGAAGACAAGAGGAGGAAGGCAAGTTTTAGATCTGCTGCGTTTCTGCTGTTCAGCTGACAGGTTTAACTTCATGGAATGACTAACCTGCTTCAGACTTGTTTAAAAACACCACCTCTATTTAGAAGGCGGTATAACAGGGAAAAGAGATACATACTGCTTTTATAGTATGAGCTCAATTTGAATCTTGGTCCTACAAGTTATTAGCTCCATATTCTTGGACAAGTTACTAAATATGTTGGACTTTTAATTTCCTCAGTTAAAAAAGGACAGTAATAGTAATTATAATGAAAATATTTAATTTGATAAGAAAATGAAGTAATGTGAAAATTATTAGCTTACTAATACCTAGGATAGGGTATATTATGGTCAACAACCAATCAAGATTTGCTAAAAATAAAACATAAGTCACAACAAATTGACAATGAAAAGCCAAAGTACTACACTTCACATCAAAAGGTATTTGGTTTTTTTTTTTTTCTTTTACTTTTCCACCATGCAAGTATTGGGTCAACCTGTAGCCTCAGCACCAGAGACTTCAAGTATGAAGGTCTGTGATCTCCAGGCAATTAACCCACCAAGAAAGCTTCGAAGTCCCTTCTCAGGAAACTCTGGAAGGTCATTTTAGAATGTGCCCTGTAGGAAATATCAGCTGATTTCCAAATGAGCAGTGTCCAGATCCAGGTGAAGTGGCATTTTCATTTGATTTGGTCAAAGGGCTGGACATTAGAGAAAACAAAACACGAGTTTTCAACAGTGAACTTAGTCATACGCCTTCACCTGTTAAGACCACTCTTCTAGATGATGATGGCTAACAATTCATTCCATCTCCACCTAAAAAGGAGCCATGCTTTGTGAAACCAAGCAAGCTTCTGAAACAGCCCCACGAGCACTCAAGTACTCAAGTTCGAAACATCCCAAAGAATCATCACGACTTACACAGAAATAGGCACAGTGGTGTTCAATAGCATTGACTGCTTGAAGAGAAGTAGCTTCAAGGTAACTTCAGAGTTGAAAATGTTTTCAAAGAAGTGAAGAGAAGCGAAGTTCTGAGGTCCAATCTTCTGAAATACTTAATTACTCCAGATACCCAAAAGGAGTGTCATCTATTGTACGAGACTGTCATTTTTTTATTCCTCTCCATCCATCCCTAAGTTTTGTATTTTTGACTGACGCCATAAGGTACATGAGCTGTGATGGTGCCAAATTTCTGTGCCCCTTCAATGTGGAACATCTGGTCATCAAAGAAGATGTGTGGCCTGATCTTCACCAGGATCGGACCCTTGGGGGCTCCAGCAAGGAAGAGAGCCTCGTCTATCTCTAGGCCCCATCGGCGGAGGGTCTTCAGCACACGGGCACCTGAACTGGCTGCACTTCTGGCTGTAACCAAGTAGGTCCTGATGGGACAAAGTAACCTTTCATCTTTGGCATAAAACTTCTTTTGCAGTCGGCCTAAATCTTCCAGGAAGCCTTTCAGGGGACCCTATAAAAGGAACATATGTCACTCAGTGAGTGAAGGGAAGTAACCACTGAGTCAATAAGTGAAGGCAAGTGACCACTGAAAAGCCAGAGGCTTTTAAGAACTTATTAAATAAGTACTTCTGCGTGGCATGCAGTGTGACCTGGCTGATAACACAATGCTAAACCTTCGTGAGTTTATGTGAATATATTTTTTAATACACAACTGTCCTTGTATTCCTGGGATAAACCTAAGATGATCATGTAATTTATCATGTAAGCCGAGATATTTTACGGGTGAAAGAATGTTCTATAAACAATAAAGACAATAGATGTGAACCAGCCACAGAAACATGCTCACTCTAAACAAACTCTAATTGGTTGTCAAAAGTACTACTTTTAAAATTCTCTGTTTGCACAACTCAGCTCTAAAAGTATATTCTTTTGTCTAATACTATCCCTCTTGTTTTATATTTACAGCTGCTTTATATATCTTCATGCTTTCTTCCATTTTCAACCTTTCTAGATACGTAGTTGTATCCCTTGTTGTACAACAGCAAATTGAATCTAGCTATGTAATCCAATGTGAAAATCTTATATTTAACAGTTAATTTTTAGCACATTTACATTTGTTAATATTGCAAATACACTTGACATTGGTTCTGTGTTTTTATTTTTATTAAGGAGCTTTGCATTATTTCCTTCTACTGGTTATCTTTATAACTATAATCTTTTATAGTACCTATAGATCTCTTGTTTGTAAAATCGTGAGTCTATTGTCTTTATAATGAGAAATAAATAAGGGTTTATTCAACCTCTCTTTACTCCTGTATTTCATCATCTAGTTTTTGTCACCTAATGCCCATCAATATTTACATCTACATTATTAAACAGCCTGTATTTTTATTGCTCAAATATATATTTTTCCCCTTACATTGAACCTTTTGGCTACTATAACTGAAGATAGCAGCATACTGATAGACTTTTTTCCCACATTATCCCATTTTATACTAGCTCTATAACTTTTGCTTTGTTAAAATATAGTATTTGATATTTTTCCCTCTTACTCTAGTCTTCAGCTATTTTAGTTTTAAAGCTGGTCACATATATCCTATGCCCAGTGTACCTTAGAACACCCAGTCATCCTGAGGTTGGCCAGTATACTGTGTTCATAAGTGTATAGCTATTTCATCTTTACTTCAGTGAACTATTATGTTTTTCTCCATAAGATTTTATAGATCATCTTTGCTATCAGGTACAGCTCTTCAGAAGTTTGAAGGGAGCTTCATACCCTCAACACCTTCCCACCAGCTATGATGATTGGTCTTTCCTGTCAGGCAGCCCAAAGAGTTACTCATCTTTGAAGCCAAATAATTTCACTCTGCCATAATCTCAGTGATTGTCATTCTGGCTCTTTCTCCCTATCACATAATGTGAGCCTTTATCTCTAATAATCTAATCCTTTAATATGGGCATTAATGTTTCCTGATAATTCAAGGATATTTTCTTGACATATTTTTATATAAATGCACTTCTTTGTATATAATCTCAACACATCCAACATATTTTTAGGGTTTTTTCCCAGGAAATCACTTATATATATGTTGTTTTTCTTTACTTATGATCTATTTGTTATTTTTTTCTCTAAAATATTATTTTAATAATGTTCATTTCCAGTATTTTTTCACTCTTCACAGTTTGTCATATATTCTTTGATAATTCCATTTCTGCTTTCTGATTCTGCTATATTAAGTTTTAAATGTCATGTAAATATTCAGTTACAATCTTTACTTATGGAACATTTTTCTGTGAGAGTTCTTCATTTGTGATTAGATAGTATTCGTTTCTTTTGTCTGTCTTTTTCTCCTAGCAACTTTGCATATGCTTGATGCTGCTTCTTTTTAAACCAGTTTTACTGGCTTAGACTGCTTTTCCTTGGGATACTTAATCTTACAGAGAAGGCTAAGGGTAGTATTGGAAGATTTGCTCATTTTCACATTTCAAAGACTGTTTTGTCAGCTATCATGAACACAGACTGCTTATTGAAAACATAGTTCTTGTGTGTACATTTGTTTCTGCTTTCTCTGAGGATGTGCATGTCAGAAAAAGCAAGTAAATTTACTTCCTGAAGGTAAGATGTATACATATAGATGCAAAATTGTTTTCTTTTTTTCTTTTGTGGTAATAATGGCAAAATTGTAATGACTGTTGACTTGAGCCATCCTGGGCATAGTTTGTCTCTGAAACACAAAGGGCACAGTTTTGTTGCGTGTGAATACTTTCCAAAAGGAAGAAATACTGAATTTATGTTACTACATTCAGACTGGGAAACCATCCCATCCTCTTTTACTTCTATCTTTAGTTATATTTTACAATTTACATATTTCTACATTAGTAAAATATGTACCTTATCAATAAAATAAGGAAATATTAGGAAAAGTCACTAAAGTGTATGAGGGACTGTATGATTTAGAACATTTTCAATCTGCCGAAGATGTAGAAAGCTTTAAAAATATTTCTTCAAATATAGGAACAAGAACACCAAGACAGTCTGAAACAACCATAACTTCTTTTGCGTCCATCAGAGAGCTCAGATCAAAGGGCTGCCACAAAGCATGAAATCTGAGAAAACTACTAGGAAGATTCATAAAAGTAAATGATCCACCAGTTCAAATTCAGTTTGGAGAACATATTGATGTTTCAAGCTTCCTTTGGTTCACAAGCTGTAGGTTTCATTCATTTTAGACCTTGATTTTAATACTTCAACACATGGATGGATTCCAAAAACCTAAATATTTACTTTCTGTGTGATTAGGTAGTCAGAGTTGCACTTATTTGAGGCTCATTATTTGATTCACATCAAGCTCTGAATTTGCAGATTTTTTCAATTATACCACATCTTTCTTGACTTGGGGGTCAAAGACTGAGAAATCCAACAAATGATTACTAAACCCACTGGAAATGACCTTACTATTTGGAGAACTTACAATCATAAAATAACTTATTGGTAAGCTGTGTCGCCTCTGCTACTCATAATTTGGAGGAAATACACTCATTATTATGGGAAGGATAGTTAAGAGAATATTTTTTAAAAGCTGTTGGCAATAGATTTTTCTAAGTAAGGAATTCACGAATGATAGAATGAAAACTTTAAGGGTAAGACAGTAAGGAGAAGCCTTCCTAAAATAATTTTAAAAGCCAGCAAGCATCTATATTTATATGTTAGAAAATAGGTGGATCAAATTAAGAGCTTACTGAACCTACCTGAGCAAGAGGCTTATTCTCAAACATTGTTTCATGTTGAAAGAATTTGTCCAGCCCGTGCTCCTTGGCAATATGTTCAGACTCGTCTGAGAAGAGGACAGCATCTCCATCAAAGGCCACGCGGAGCTGTGTGTCACAGTAAGCCATGTCTCTGGCTCCATCAAACATTGTTGCAGAGGCAATTCCTGAGAGATCGGGGACTGATTAATTTTCATCTTAGAGTCATGAGTCTGGTTTCCTCCATTTAAAACAAACTAAAGCTCTTCCTGCCTTTAATTCTTCTCTCTAGCTCTTAACTGATAACTCTGGGGCACAACCATACATCTCAGATGTCTATCAGTGTCTCTTGTCTCCTAAGGGATGGGAGTGCTAAATGGGCTGTAGGACAATTACTACAGATATCCACCTCCTGGAAGGTCTAAGGTGCCAGGAATGCACCCAATGGCTGACACATGTGCAAACATCTGAGCAGAACACCCTATAAAAACATAACCCACGTAATCCTACAGAAAACCTAAGTTAAGTAACCATCAGTGCAAACCCCGTTATTAGCCAGAAGGATAAAACCAGACTAATACCTTCTTGTATTGCCTCCTGTACTTTTTCAGAATCCGCAGAAAGATACAAGTTGGTAAGATATGCCTTCAAATAGCCAATGGGGCTTTTTCCACCAGTCAAGCAGAATCGGTCAATGAGTAACCCTATTATCAGGCATGAAAGACTCTGTTATGGCTGAGATTAAAGACAAAACACTGAATCCTAAAGAAAATTATCTTACAAATACAGAGAGTATTTTTACATAGAAGTGAGTTCTTATGTAAATCTAAGTGAAAGTCACCTTAGAAATAGTTGCAGTATTAGAATCTCATTCATGGCACCAGTGCTAAAGAACTTATCAGGTACTACATGTAATAAGGTGGATGTCTAGTGCATTGTAGTTTATGAAGTGCATTCACACAGACTATGCCACTTCCTCTCAACCACTTTGCAGCAGATTTGTACTCACTGCAGAATAGGGCACTGATACAGAAAGACTTGTCTGACACACTGGTTCACAACTGCAGGACAGACTTGAGCCCACACATCTGATTCTTGTCTGGACTAGAACAGAGTGCTTTTCTCCTTGAAGGCCATAGCCTTCTCATTTATTGAAATGGCATTAAAGTGTGGCTGTATTTAAATTACCATTTCTGTATTATTTCAGTAACTATACAATAATAACAATGATAGGATTTGAACTATTTTTTAAAACAACAAAATATTTGAAATTATCGCTTTCCTGATGTGAAAATTTTAATGTCATTAGCAAAATCAATGTTCAAATACTACAAAATTCCTTTCAAGTCAACAACAATCAAAAATACATAGGCTGTTGATAAGAAGTTTGTAAAACAGGCACCCACATATATTACAGATGGAAGTATAAACTGGTACAAATTGTCTAGGAAGTAATTTGACAATATATATCAAGACCTTTTAGAAGTTTATATATCTTGACCTAGGATTCTTTCTTTTTTCCAGGTATTTATCCTAAAGAAATAATATAAAACTGATATTTATGTAAAAAGATCATAGCAAAACATGTTCCACACAGTGAGAATAGATAAAGTATAACATTAGACATGTGATAAAATTTTATGTGTCTAGTCAAAGACTTTTCCAGATATATATAATAAACTGGATAGTTACACATGATATACGTGGACAACTGAGTCAGGTCAGGTATTTGATGTTGGTTTGGGCCAAGGAAGTAGAGAGGAGCCGTGGACAGGGTAGAGGAGGGAATGTGTGCTTTGGTGTTAACAAAATACTCTCACTTTTCACTTAAGGCAGTGTTAGCCATATGTGACATAAAAGTAGACTATAAATCCTGAAATAATATTATTTGAATGATCCTGAAAATACTTGATGACACTTGGACTTCAGAAATAATTAAAACACTGTCCTTCCTCTCAAGGAGATCACAGTGCACGGAGAAGCCAGGCATGTAAAAAGCTAATTATAACATAGCAAAGGCCACATCAGAGAGAGTTACAAGTTGCCTTCAGCACCCAGAAAACGGAAATAACTAACTCTTCCGGGTGAAAGGTTGTTATTCTATAAAGACGGCTGTGCTCATGGGTTAATCACCAGAATTCAGAGTTAGACAACTGATTCCGCAGGCTTCCAGCCTCAATGGGCTAAGCATCGTAACAGATAGACATACATAAGAATCTGCATCTTTAAAGTAATAGTTTCATTTGTAGAGCAATATCACATGATACCTATGCTCAGTCTTTTGTACACATATTCTGCTTTTACTTTCTAATATTATGAAGCTGTATTTTTAAAAGGTAAAATCATTAAAAGTATATTTCTGTAAGGTACCAGCATTATACCTAGAGTAGTACAAAATCAAAACATAGTAGCTTGTAATACAGCTTGCTTATTTACAAATATGGTCAATTGAAATGCAGAATTGAAATGTGTACCATTTAAACCTGATTTTGATTTCATGTATCCAAAAGACTGGGTTGTCACTTAGAAAAGAGGACGATTGTGCCCCAAATAACAAGTCAGGCATCTCACAGTAGGAAAAATGAAGACTTTAAGAAAAAGTAATACACTGATGGAAATGCTCTGGAGATAGAGCCAATCAAATTTTCCATGTAAAGAAATGACAGTTTTTCCTGGCATGAGTAAGGATTTGATGTGTGGGAGAGAGCAGCTGGGAGAATCAGATTTTAAGAGTGGAAAGGAGCGGTGAAAACCTTTAAACCCTTAACATGGATCTGCGGTGAGCAAAAAGTTTGATCACACAGAGAATGCCTTTGGGTTGACAGCTCCTTGAAGTCAAGTTCAGAAGTGAAAAACATAAAACAGAGAAATATACTGCAGGACCTGGGATTAAGACTTTGAAATTCACACTTGACAAGTTAAATCCAGAGCTTTGAGCCGAACTGTGTGCTGAAGTTAAAAATGAACATGGCCTTTCTTGTTCTGACATAGGCAAATAAACATTCCTCACGCAGAAGGGGGTGTCAGTATCAAAGACGCTGCATCGCTTAGGCCACAGTTAGCAAAATAACATGGCTTCTCTCTTCCAGAGCTGCAGGCTGGCCTTCCACATGGTATTTATTTTACTTACCATAGTGATTGACGCTGTTTATAAGCCTCACTCCCACTTGGGCATGGTTATTAGTCATCAGTACAATATCAAATAAGTCCTGTTCATCAGGATACAGCTCACGCAGTCTAGCATTGACATGCTGCAGGGCCTGCGGGTTACAAAGATGAAGGATATAAAGAGGGCCCCGAGGTAGGCCTGGGAGGCTAGTGGACAGCACCTCCTAGGGGCAGATGGAGCTCGAGGAGTCCACTTAGAGACCAGGCTCCTTTCAGGCAGGGCAGCCACTTGGTTCTGCACTCTGCCTCTTTCAGGGGACCTCCGTTCACTGCACAGCATGCTTGCTGAAGACTGACAACCTTCAGTTTGCTAGAATTATCTCTGGGAGAGAGGTAGAGAGAAGGACCAAGCTAGCCCTTTCATGCTGTTTTGATTTATAAAGTCTGCCTTTATTTATCATCTAATGGTCATTTTTATTGTCAAAAACAGGGACTGTTTCAGAAATGCATCATGCATCATTTGCGTACAGTGGCCACACTGGTCCAGGTCTCTGTTGTTCCGATCTTGGCATATGTGCTGCAGAAGGGAGCACTTTGTCTACTTTGTAAACACTGGTCTTTAGAATTGGCTTGCGGTTTCCTCCCATGAGTCTGTCATGTCCCACAAGTACTTCCACCCCAGGACTTGTAGAGGTGCCATTTATTTTTGCGTGGTTCTGATGTTAATGTGTAATGATTGTATGTAGGTAGGGGGTCAGTGCTAAAGCTACATGTTTTAGAACGCATTCATGTCCCTGATGGCAGCTTGATTTTCTTAGTCTGCTACAAAGTGAAGTCCATCCCATTTTAATAAAGCTTTTTTATTTTTAGTACTCAGGATGGTAAACTCATAGCTGTTTCTTTGCACTTCTTCAAGGGAGGGAGCAGAGGCTTCTGCTCAAATCCAAGGACCATAGGTCCACTTAGGGAAGCCTGCAACCAAAATCTGGAACTTCAGTGACATCCCTTTCTAAACAGTCTCCATGAAAACACAACTGGGAGGGTGCAAGGATGGCCAGAATCATTTAGGAATTATCAGAACAGGTGGCTGCGCTGTCCCCAGGGCCGGGCAGACAGCTTGGAGGTGGAGGAGTACCTTGACGAAGCGGAAGGCGGGGCCTGGTGTGAGGACCACGTTCTCATTGGCGAGCTGGTACTCCATGTACTTCTCCAGACCTTCCTCCTCGTAGATGCGCCTGTCATCCACCATGTTGAACAGAGCCCGGGAGGAGACGGCGACAGTGATAGCGTGTTTGGGCTTGGGCTGTAAAGGATCAGGGAAGGGAGGACCATCTCAGGGACAGGACGGAGGCAGGGATGGGTTGAGCCCCAGGTGGGGCGGCATCCCCACCCCAAGGCAAGGCGGAGTGCCCGAGGGAGGAAGGAGCTCACCGGCCGGGGGCGCGCGCAGCTGGGGATCTTTTCGTACAGCTTCTTTACCGAGGCCCAGTAGGCCTCCTCGTTCTCCTTCTCCTCGTCCTCCTCTTCCTCGTCCTCCTGCCCGCCGCAGGAAGCCTTCGATCTGGGCGGTTTCTGCTGCAGCTCTGACAGGCAGTCGCGGTCTTCCTGGTTGGAGCCGTAGAGCGCGCGGCGCTGCGCGTAGGAGCGCCACTCGGTGGGCGGCGTCACCGGGTACTCCTGGGTCTGCGGGCGAGAGTCTCGGGACTCGCGAACCTCGCGCCCGATGCTCTGCGCCCAGGCGTCGGGGCTGTCACGCAACTTGCCGCGCCGGGAGGGCTCGAAGTCAGGGGGAGTGAAGGACAGCGAGTTGACTGATGTGACCGCAGGCGTGGGCGCCGGCGTGTTGGGCACTGGAGGCGAGGGTTGCCCGGACTGCGGCGGCGGAGGCGACTCCTCATGCTGGCTGGGGGAGGCCGAGGAGGTCCGGGAGGTCGTGGAGCTGGGGGGATGCTGGGAGAGAGAAGGGGCGTCTATTCGAGGCCTTAACCAGGGCCCTGGAGGAGCTGCCCCTGAGTCTAGGGTCAGTGCTGGCCAAGGGATAGGCCGGGATCAAGTCTCTCCCCGACACCTACACAGAGCTCTGCTCAGCAGAAGAAAGGACAGTTTGCCCAAGTAGGAAGGAGCCTTTCTAGTGAAAGGTCCCCTTATAAAAGTGTGCGAGAAGTTATCACGAATACATACTTCACTTCTGTTTTTAGAAGTCATTCAAAAGAGACACTCTTGGTGAGATTATTAGGCAAATCTGACCGAGATGGATGCAGTGCCTATGAATACATCTCCCCTATTCTCCGGGGGCTACTCTTTTGAGTCTGCATATCATCTAAGTGTTCTTTTGTGTCGACCTTGCTACCCTTCTTCTGAAAGCCATAGTTAGCATCTGCTGAAGGGGTGAAAGGAGGAAGGAGAACGTGACCAGACCTGTTATCAACAAATGACTACGCTTCAGCTTTCTCCGTGGGGAGATGAGGGTTATCCTGCAGTTCTCACAAGGGTGAGTTCAGTAATACAAGTCAAGCGCTTAGATCGGGACCTGGCATATAGATGCCTCCGAGGGGTACACCTCACTCATCCTCTCCTCCTGGCATCTTGAGCTCTACCTTAAGGGTGCTGTTCCTGCTTCTGGACTCTTCTGGAGGCCTGGTGGATGAGATTCCTGATGTGCGGGACCACTGGTTTCGCCCAAGTTGCCCTCGAGAGTTGGACTTTGGTATGGATAATTCTTGGGATTCCTGTCAAGGAGCAAAGACATCCAGAGTGTAATTCCCTAGTGCCATCCCACATGTGCCTTCCCTGCAATGGCTGGGCCAGGGGAAACAGCAGCAATCAGTGCACAGGCCTTTGGCCTCTCAGATCCTTAGTTCAGCCTCAGACCTCATCTCTTGCCCTGGTTCTGGCTGGATTCTAACTTCCACGTAAAGTAACAAAGTGGGGATCCCCCTGGAAGAACATTGAAAACCAAGAAACAAGTGTGGTAGCTCATGTTTCTTCACCTGTGACTCTTCTCTGACGTTAGTAGAGTGGATATCATTTCCTCCCCAGGCCCACACCGTCTTAAGGATGAGCTTATTTGTAGATGATAAAGAAACATCTGACATGTTGACCAGACTGCAAAGTTGCAGCCGCTGGCACTGACCATGGCTGCAGCAGGCTGTGAGGTGCTGCATCTAAGCACAGGGAGCCTCCGCCCTCTCTCGAAGACCATAGAGAGGAAGTGGAAGAGCTTCCATTCCCACATCCTCTCCCTCCCAGGGGCCTGTGGCTGCCCTCCCAGTTAGCCCTGCAGTCTCTGCTCACCCTGATCATGGTGATCTGCTGGCCCTGCTCCCACAAAAGGCACATGTGAATATAAACACGTGCTGTGCGACAGGGGCCAGCTCCCCCAGCTGCACAGAGGCAGCGTCTACACGACGGGTGACCCCGCATGGGGCAACATCTCAGCGAGTGACTCGGATTGCCTGCATGTCTCATCTGAAAGATTGTGCAGAAAACGGTCAGTGCGATGGCCAGACTCCCCACCCGCCCTGATCCGCACCTAGGCCAAGCAGATCCATGCTCTTTCCTGTGCTGCTTGTTCTGTAGGAAGCAGGGCTGTGGACTGGTGGGGCTTCCCGAATCGCCTTACCCTTCTCCTGAGGACACAGCTGTCCCCAGCGTGGTCTGAGCGAGTCCCATCCCTGGGGCATTTCTAGTGCATTCTCTCCCTGTAATTCGCTCACCACAGCTGTGGAGGTTGGCTCACCTGAGTGCTCAGACGGACGCCCGATTTCTCAGATTCCCGCCTTTTTTCTGAGTCTAGACTCTCTTTTGAATACCTCGTCCCGGGCTCATTCTTAATATGGAAACAAAGGATGTTTGTTCATTTTTAATCTCAAGGGTATTGAAAAAGTTTGAGTTTGGGAATAAAAGGATAAATGTACAATTTGTCTTTTTGTCTGTATCAGAACTACATAAACTTTAGACATTTTGTCTTATTCTAGCAAGCATGAGCAAAAATAACACATTTATAAGTAAGAATTACACAAACAAATTTCATATAAATGTGTCAGTTTACAGTTTCAAGGTAGGAAGCATCATTAGAAATGACAACATGGGAAATACTATGGGAGAATTTTCCACGGCTCTCATGACTTGGTTTAAACATGAAGTTGTTCCCACAGAATAACTTTTATTTTCTCCATTATTCTGAAGATTGTTCCTTGTGGAAACTTTATCATATAGAATTGAAACTTTTCCAGTTTGTTTTCTTAGTAAATATAGCCACAGTGATCTAAGCATCTGTGCCTCACCAACATTAGTCCGATTTTTTTTAAAAAGGAGCCTAGTCCTGTACAGATTGTCTGCCATTCTTAGGATCAGATTACTCGCATAATCTAGAGCAAAGAGGGGCTTTGTTACTGACAGATTTGTAGGGAAAGGTGAGTAGGAGACAAGAAGATGACTCACTTTATGGAAATCTATTCAAAGTTTTTTTCATTTTTAAATGGAGCAGACTATTTATACTCTTCCTGCTGACACAGTAGCATCAGTGTGATTAGATGAGTGTTCTCCTTATTTATTTATTTAGCTATTTTGACTGTTTGACATAGGGTCATTACTACATTTTTCAGGCTAGCCTTGAGCTCACTATGTAGCCTGGATTGACTTCAAACTCACAGTCTTCCTGCCTCAGCTCCTAAACCCTGGGATTATAAGTGTATGCCAGCACACCTGGTTTAATGTTATCTGCTTAAGGAGCTCAAAGTATAGGTCAGACTGAGGTCTTCCCAGAATCATATTCTTTTATCCATTTATGCTCTGTGTCTTCCAATAGAAATATCTCAGCAGTGTTAGTCAAATGAGAATGTGATTGCAGAGAATGTCTTGGCTCCTGGACTATGAGAATATTTCCTTCAACACTCACCATACTGTCACCATAATAATCTGTCAATTCTAACTCCAAAAGATATTCTAAATCTAAGTTGTCTCCCCTATTCTTCTCATTGCCTTAATCAAGGCCTTAGATACTTTTTTAGGCTATGGACCTCCATACTTCCAGATTTGCCCGCTGTATTATAAAATGTAAATCTAATTATGCTTTTTATTTCCTTGGTTAGACAGACTAGGACAGTGGTAGCGAAACTTTTAAGAGACTGAGTGTCCTAAGTGCAATCCAAAACCTACTTATTTATCACAAATTAAACCTGCAATTGAACCTGAATATAGAGGTTTTAGTTCAGGGGAAAAAAAAAAACCCTTCATACATTAGATTTTTTGTTTTAAAAGAAAAACATTGAGGAAGGCGTGCCATAGATTCACCACCACTGGTGTGGGAGTTTTTGACATACTCCGTTCTGCCTCCAATCAGCACACTCACCTCTTTCTGCCAAGTGACATGGCTTTGCCTAAGTCCACCTTCATTACCTTGAAACCACCTCATCCCTCTCTTGAAAATTCAGCTCAGTTCGACATTCCCCTGTGTTCCTGTGTCTTTTGTGTGAATCCTACTGTGTGCTGAATTGTACTCAGTTTATGTATCCTCTGTCCAACCAGGCTGTACATTCCTCAGACAGCTTTGTGTATTGCTCAATAAATGCTGGCTTATTGGATTGACTTATACTATATGCTTAAATCTATTTTTCTACTACTTTAGTTTCTTATCTTCCCCTGTTTTCCTCTATATGTAACCATTACCTGAACAGTTAGTATTTGTGGAACATTTCTGGAGGTGAAAGATAGACTGATATTTACATTTCCTCAGCTGCTTTGTAAGATTCTAGGACATTCAATTCACTAACCTTCTTTTTCTGTTTCAGAGATGTTTGACTCATTTTTTTAAGTATGGGAATCTTTTGTTGTTCTGCAGGTTTTCATCTCCCCAGCTCCATTTCCTGTTTTTCTCTTCTCAGTCCAGCTCTTCATTTAGATGTCAGATTATGACATCACATGTGATGTGACTCCATAGTGACAAACTGACTCTGTGCAGGAGTAACTATGCTTTTGTTCTTTTCATAGAGCAATAGTGTTTGTTCATATCTGAGCACATTCTTGTAACAATTACCTGTGTTTTTAGGAATTAATGTCTAAACATTGTTTACATGTTTGAGATGTAACAGTTTGTCACTTCGTTCCTTTTAAGTCTTTTGAAGGATGGCTCTGTTACTTATCAGATCAACTTCTCTTGTGTCTATGCATTTTATGGTACTGCCAACGTGAGTGGTAAACTCATTGTGGACCCATTTGTCCTCTTCTTGACCTCCAACTCTTGCTTACTGAATCCAACAATGTTCTACATTGTATTTTATTGCTTTGGTTTTCTCTTAACCTAATTTTAGGTAAGAGACATGTGCCACCGCCACCTGAACTGTTGAAATCATCAGGAGCTGAGGCAAATTTCTGACCTCCTTTTTCCTGGAAATTGCTGATACCCAATTTGGGTATCAAAAGTTCTCCAAAGAAGAACAAAGCAGACAGCGTCCAGAGTCTAGTTTAGATTGCCTGAGTTTGAATCCTTCGAGATACTGCAGATCTTGGAAAACTTTTTAAATTTTTCTGAATCTCAGTTGCCTCAATTATAAAATACAATAATAGTCATATAAATATCAAAAATTGTGATGCTGAAATATTATAAAATGAGATAGTGACTGGCACACTTAAATGATTAATAAACATTAACCATTACTTTTTATTCATAAATTTTCCTACTGCTTGACTATCGGGTTAGTAACATCCCTTAGTTGTTGTGGGTTGATCAGGTCCACAATCTCCTGAATGAGTGCATGGTGAAGGTTAAATAAAAAGAGGCAAATAGAATGATTTCAGGGCTCCAGGAGGATCAAAGCCCTCTCACAGAATTTAACATTCTCTCAGGACTAAGACCAAGACCTTTTCTGGGTTGCCTGCCCATATTTATGTGGTTATCAGAAGAAGGGAGGGGAGTATTCAAGAAGGGCGAGGGGCAGAACCACTCAAAGTCTTCCCTAAATAGGGTATTAAGTTAATCTACTCAAGGATGAGATGCCTGAGGCTATAGTCTTTATCCAGTTGAGATCTGATCCAGGTGTCCTTGACTGTGATCTTGTTTTATCCTTTTAGGGTTTCTGGCTTCATTCACCACTACAGGTTTTAGTAGGGATTAGTGACTCACAGAGGTTCACTTACTATGAGTCCACCATTTCCAGATAAGGAGCCTAGGCCTTGGACAGATTCACAAGGGAGCATGAAAAGCCAATTGATTAATTTAAGTTCTGTTCAGGTCTGCTTCATAGTGGTCTTCATCACTTGACCACAGTGCTCACACAGAAAATCTTTAAATAATTTGATCTCCACTGCAATCTAATTGCAGGAGCAGAAATTTAAAAATACTTGTTCATGAACCTCTGTGAACAAGGGAATGTTGGTTTGGTGATTCTTCCCATCCCTCTTAGTGGTACAGACAGCAAAGTAACTGGCTGAGAAGGGGGCATTGGAAGCAATTAGAAACAGAAACTGGAGAGCACTGTACCAAACAAAGGAAGAAGATTTTGTGGAGATGAGGCCTGGAGTCATGATTTCTGACTGGTGCTTCTGAACAACACCCAAGAGCAGCTGTTGCTTTCAATCCATGCAATTACTCCTCTAGGTAATTCTGCATTTATATGTTCAATAAATTCCTTTATTATTGGTCTTCTCCCATGTTACACAGCCTAGGAAAGAACAGCAATTTAACGAGTGTGTTGAATTACTTTCTGAGTTAAGATTAAATATATAACTGCATTGTTTTTGTCTGAGAGCTGAAGGTGAAATTAAATATTATATGCCTTTTTCCAGATTTCCTTATTATTGAATATGAAAATTTGCATGTATATAGGCAATATACCTTTTGTTTGGCAAGGGTTTCTCTCTACATGAGGATAACCTTGTTAATAAAGCCTGTGTGCTGTGTTACTATGATATTGGTATGTGGCTCACCCATACCTGGTTTCCATAATGTAATGTTTATTGTCAGTTCTAGTTGTGAATAACATTAGAAAATAGTTCCATAGGAGGATTTGAAAAACATTTTAGAAAACCACAAACATGGAAAGATCTAAAGAGGCATTCTCTATTTTTGGAAAATCACTTTTTACTCTAGGCATGATTACTGAGTGGATATACCCATTCCCTTGACAGTGCTAAGGGAATATTGCAGAATGAATTTGAGACATAGGTTCCATTTGGCTACCCTTCTCTACTTCTTATTTTCTTAGGGAATCGTGATAATAAACAGAATTTCTGGAGATGCTAGTAGATGCCATGTTAGCTTGGAGCTTTTCAAAAGGTAGGACAGACTGGGTGATATAGCTAGGCATCAGTACTCTGAGAATAATACAAAAGATCCTTTTCTTCACTATGGCCTCTGTTCCATTCTGAGCCATGGAAGTAAATATTGTGGAAAATGTCTTAGTTACTTCTTTCATTGCTGGGACAAGATACCTGATGCCTACAAGTTAAAGAGAAAAGGTTTATTTTGGATCACAGTATACAGTGGTTTCAGTATGTAGTTGGCTGGCTCCAAGGGAGGGCAGCATGGCTGAGAGGTATTGCAGAGGAGGAATGGCCCATGGCAGAGCAGGCAGGAGGCAGAACTAAGCAAACAGAAAAGGAGACAACAGCAGCAGCGGACTTTTCATTTCCCCTTTATATCCCATCCAGGCTCCAAGCCTTTTGAGTGGTGTCACCCATATTCAGGGTGGTGCTTCCACTATCCACACCCAAAACCACAATAAACCTATTTCATTATCATACTCTTAATCCCAATATCACATACCCTGATCCAGCATTACACACCCATCATACAGTCATCTCCCAAAGCCCCAGCTATGACTGCATGAAGCTTTGGGGGGTAGCATCTAGATACAAGCCATGAAAATTGCTGTTATAATTTTTCTACTCTGATTCTATTTAATCTATTGAGTTAAAAACATAAAAGCCACTAACATGTTAGAATTAAACATTTACTATTGTTTTAAAGTTTATAGATATGTGATGGATGGATTCAAAACTAATGAAATTTGTAAAAAATTTAATTAGAAAAAAGTCTCTGTGAATTTCTTATCCTAACATACCCAATATTTCTGCTATTGTAAATAATGTTTCCTATGTTCTTTTTTAAGCCAGAGTATGACTTCCTTAGCATATGCTCTTTATTTCCACAGTTACTAGTACATTCAAACCTGTAGCTGGATGATATCCAGCTTGGCATGGCCACCTCCGCACCCTTAATTTCAACTCTTCCCAGTCAGGGTTTGCCACCTCAATAAATGATAACTTATTAACCCATGTTTTAGGCCACACATCTGAGAATCATGTTAGACTCTTCTCTTTTTCTCACATTTAATCCTTCAGCAGATCATGTTTGCTCTACCTTTAGAATACACCAAAATTCTGCCACACCTCACCACAAACACAACTATTGTCTTGTCTTAATTATCGTCATGTCAGCTCTCACCTGGACAGCTGGAATAGCTAGTCTCCCAGGTCCAATATTTCTTGGTCTATAATAACTCTTACTCAGCTTGCTATTTATTCTTAGCTTTTGTTTTGACCTATTTTATTTCATAATTGTATGTAATTGCATGTATATCTTTTCCACTGTTGTTTTTCTATTTCCTAGAACAGTAACTAGGAAGTACTTCACAGTGATAAACAGGATACAGAGTACTACATGTTTTTTCTTTTACTTTTTCAGCTTTTAAAATTTTTCTCTATGTTTGCAGTGCATAATGATTATATTCCTCATGAGGAGCTCGTTCACATACATCATGCATCTTAATTATTTTTGCACCTGTCCCCTCCTCCATCTCTTGGTTCCCTTCCAATTTGCAAAAGATCCACCTCCCTATTATCTATCTTTTATTTCGCTCTTTATTTATACTTTGGGTTTCTTGTATAAGAGAAACCATATGATATTTAGGCTTGAGTGTCTGACCCCTTCCTTTGGCATTATGGTCTAAGGAGTGTCTGTGTTCACATTAGGGGTGGAGATGACAAAAGCCATCTATCTCCTTGTGCCTTTGAGAAAGACCCTGAGGTCAGGGAATGGGTGATAGAAAGAGAAAAGTGCTTGCTGATCTTTATAAGCTCTGTATCTAGAGCTCAGACACAGAGCTTGAAAATATATCTGAGTTACCAAAGGGCTTGCTAAAATAAGACTGCAACTGGCTAATGGGTAAACAACCACTATGTGGAATATGACGAAGCAATGAGCAGGATGGCAGGACAAAGTGTGGGTACACACAGTAACCCAGAAGATTCTTCAGAGGATCATGGTAAATTAAAAAAAGCCAATCCCCGAAGGTTATATATTCTATGGTTCCATTTATATAACATTCTTTTTATTTATTTATTTCTTTTTTGAGACAGGGCCTCATCAAGTAGTTCAGGTGGCCTCGAACTCACTACTTAGCCCAAGCCAGTCTCAAACTCAAGGCAGTCCTCCTGCCTCAGCCTCCCAAGTGTTGGAATTACAGGTTTGTACCTGGCTACATAATATTCCTGAAGTGACAAGATTGTAGAAATGGACAACAGTGCTTTGTTGCTGGGATCAGGAGAGAGGGCCAAGTGGCCACAGCTACATAAGGGCAACACAAAGCCCCTTGTGGAGATGGACACATTCTGTCTGCAAGTTGAGTATATCAGTGTCAGCATCCTGGCCACAAAATTGCATTATAGCTTTACATGATGTTATGGTTCTCTTCAGAAAAATAGGGCAAAAAGTAATACCATCACTCTGTATTACTTCTTACACTTGCCTATAGGACTACAATTATTTCACAAATATTTTAAAAGTTCAATCAGGAAAAGCCACATTGTTGGTTTTTCCCCTGGACTTTCTTATTCAGGGGCCTAGAATCTGAATGTCTAACAAATTCCCAGAGGAAGCTGATGCTGCTAGACTATGACCCAC